AGATTCAGGGATAAACCATTCTGACGCCATAGGTGTCTCAAGTTAGCAAACGCGGCCCGAGCCTTGCAGATTCGTGCATTCACCTCATCTGTCACACTACAGTCAGAACTAATACAACTTCCAAGATACATAAAACGCTCCACAACTTCCAGTGCCTCTCCCTGGATTGTAAGTGGCGTGTTCAGTGACTGCACGTCCACAAGCATGACCTTACACTTTGTGGGTGCAGAGTGCATACCAAAGGACGGGATGACTTTGGTCAGTTCATCCAAGAATACTTGCGCCTTTTCCTCCTCTTCGAACATGAGGACGATCCCGTCTGCATATTCCGGATCGACGAGGCTTTCTTCACAGGCTATTTGAACACCAGGGTTTTTTGGAGACCCTCCATCGTTCGTCTCATTATTTCATCGATCACGAAGTTAAAAAGGAATGGAGAGAGTGGGCATCCCTGACGGACACCGCTTTGTGTGCGGAAGCTTTTGAAGAGCTCTCCCACGTCCGGAAATCTCAGTACTCGTCACAGATTATACTAGGGTTACCTGCGACTGTCTTCAAAACCGGTCAATTTTTCTGATGGCTCGTCATTTCACGCCTGTTCTTACCAGACTACACGGAGTGAGTGTGCTGGTTTCCGTTCGGACTAAAAGTTGCTGCGTTGACGTAACATCCGCCTCCGGAGCTTTCCGTTTTCGCCGCGTTGTCTCACTGCGCTTGCTATTCCCATCCAATCTACCAAATGAACTCAGGCAAAGCAGGACTAAACAGTACTAAATCTATTGCGTAGTTGCTGTCAATGCCTTTATTGTTTGCTAGATAGGCTAACGAACCTCACATGTCTATATTTTACTCCCGAAACGCGCACACGAAGTGCGTCGTGGTGGCCGTGAACTAAACTTCGCAAAGCTCAAACCATTTTTGGTGGTGTTCGTGCTCGTGAAGCGATATGCATGTTGATGGGAATGGTCACTAGCACCAAAGCTGTGCTCGTCCCCTCGATTCCAGTGAACAGTCATCTTTGTATTGTCTTGTTCAGTCGCGGTTAAGGCCAGTCGTCATTGCAACAGGTTTGTTTGTATAGTCACCACGTTCCCTGACAGGCGTCAAGATGAATGTGAGAAAAGATAACTGTCGAAGTTGGGCGCTCTGTATTCGCACAGTGGAATTGAATCTTCGACAGCTACGACGTGTCCGTTTGGACAAAAAGAGACAGGCAACTGAGTTCAGAGTACGAGTTCAGTCTCATCTAGGCATCCCGGGGTATCGGCGATGCTAGGAAAGTATTTCGCCAGAGGTATGATTACTTCAGTGGTCAATGAAATTCGGTGAGCTGCAAAAATATGAATGTAGATTAGAATGATTTTTGGTTTGAGCACATACGCGACGAAATGCAATATCTTAGCGTAAGAAGTTTTATCCCACTCGCAAAGGTTTTGCAGCTAAGAGCATTGTGCGGCTAACGGGCTCCGTCGAAGTTGTCAGGTGATGTGAATACCGTTGCTCGCAGACTGATCTTGTGGAAGCACACTTTCTTTACATGGAATTGAAGCTCACAGCGTATAATACGGATAGCTGCTTCTACAGCCACATGCTCATCCTATTTTCACGTGGTATCAGGTTAGTAGCTTCTGCATCGGTTGACCCGGAGACCGTTCAGTCCAAATCGACCGTGGTCCCAAGGCGGGCATGCTGTCAGAGCTCAAAATTGCTCATTTTGGGACCTGAAAATCTCCGTCTGTGCTGTGGTGCGTGCCCGTCTTTCTGGTACTTTTTTCCTTTCGGTATTTCTAGTAGTGATAAATAACCGTTCAGCTGTAGCACCCTTTCGGTGCCTAACTGCTATACTACCCGAAGTAAGCACGAGGGCTTGGATACTGCCAGGTTGCCCAAGCTTAGACAGGGAAAGTCGAGTTGCAGAGGTCGGGTTCGAACCACGGACCTTCCGGTCAGTAAATTCGTGATATGACCACTTGAGCCATCTCTCCCTTCTTTTCAGTATTTCTACAAGTCTACCAATCCATCTCCGGGGAACGACTCCAGCCCAGCAGTGTCTGAGCAACCCGGAGAGCTCACTGAAGGCAGCTAACATAATTCGAGTTATGAACATCTCGATGCAATGAAGTCTGCAGAAGAATCGTTGGTGATAGTGTTGGGGTTGTTTGTCCTACTTCTTTAACACGACTTAATGGAGGAAGCTGGTAGTCATCGATTTTAGCAACCCTAATTAACACCAGTAAATTCATATATTCAAAGAATGGTTCAAAACCATGGCTAGAGTGAGCGGCTCGCAATGAGGGCTTCAGCAAATTGATCTCCGGCAAAGTGGTAGGTACTTTATTCGAGGTGTGCGTTCAACACTGCAAACTAAAATGGCTGGGCCGTGTGCTACGCATACTCATTTACCGTCTGTCCATGAGAGTTATGTGTGCCTCTCCAGAGTGGCAGAATCATAGAGATGGACAGAATGTGATGTGGTCGATGGGAACGGAAGATATCACGGAAAGTCGGTGCTGTAAGCTTGGTACGATTGGGTCCACGTGACACTGTACCTGATTGGAAGCAGCCAATCATAGAGCGGCCGACGGATGCGAGTGACGTTCATATTGTCAGCTTCTATCTGGGTTTCATGACTGAGTGTTGGAGGCATGAGTTTCCGGATGTTTTGGCCTCAGATGCTCCCTGTCTCGTTTTTTTTTCATTTTGGGGTTTTGTTAAAAGTGTCGTGGTTCTACGGCTCGCTAGCACCAGTGCTCTCATCTGGTGCTGCTGTCAAGGGTGAGTGACTGAAGGTCCATGTGGCACTGAAGATCCCGGAGGTGGATCACGAAAGCAGAAAGATGCAGCAATCTCTTGTCACCGGAGTTCCATATCAGCTGGTCTCATCGGGGAATCAGTCAGCGAGGAAGCTGCCTACACATTTCGCCAACAAAAACGCATTTGTGGAGATGATCCGAGCATCCTAAAGAACAATCCAGGTGGATTACTGTATCGTGTACCTTGAAGCAGCGATGCAGCCGATTGGGACGCGTACCCAGGCTATCCAACAGTATCGAATAAAACGCAAATTGGTTGCTCGTTTGTTCTCTGAGATGGGCTATTTGTTCGCATATAGCGATATGTACTTCCTTTATGAAGCAGGTAATTCGAACCTGTCAAAGAATGGCACGCGGTTACTCACTCTGGGTACTCGAACAACGAAAGATACCACCATACGAGAATATCAGATGGATTGTGACCAGACTGAGTAGATTTGGAACTGTACTTAACACATTTCCTGCCACTTTATCATGATGTGTTTTAAAAGGGATGAGTCATAGACGACTGTTGCTGGTCCCATCTAACCAGGACTGGAAAACACTTTTTGTCAAGATTAGTGTTAAGTGACTTTGATAGCCGCTTCAGACGTATCCAGATTAATACTCCCCTGGGACTCAGTCCTCCTTGCTGGTAAGTAAAGCTGAACACTACCAATAGCTGCAGGAATGTACGGTTATCTCTGAATTGCTGTAAGCTGGCAACTAAGTATGACGTCACGATAACTCCAGAATTTATGGCCTTGAAATGTTGCAATTGGTGCTGTTTTTAAATCAGGACAGCCTGTGTAAGGTGGAACCCCATACTGATTTACCGCTCGTAGTTAGGCCCTGCTACGGCCGAGAAGCCTTCCCGCGCAATAATGGTCGAAATTTCGGACCACTTGCCAGTCCGGCATCAAAGCGAGCTCTGATTGGTCAAAATTCTGGGCCCAACAGCCAATCAAGACCCAGTATTCGCCGAATCCCGTTTGTCAATGTCTCATCCAGTAGGAGTCGTAATTTCCGTAATGGTGCCGTGGCGTACACTTTATACACGACCTGGGTTTGGGGCGTTAGTATACGCTATGCACATTTAGTGGTTGTTTTCGACGAGAAGGTTAGCTTCTGAAGTTCAGGGCGAGAATCAAGCCTAGGGAAATACCACTATTACACCTAGGGTCACCTATAAGACAGCATTTCAGAGCTCGAGCTTATTTAGTGGGATTCAGAGCTGCCACTGAATCTTGTTTGTTTATTTTGTCGAACAACAGCATCCGCATCATCTTTCAAGTCATGGTCTTCATCACCATCATGGTTTCTCTGCAAACGACCATCTGTCCACCTACCCTCTGACATTTAATATCGTATCTGTAAGTCCGAAAACGAGGGCTAGATCAGGAGTTAGTCGATGTGCAGAATGATTGGGTGGACATTTCATGTAGTCCTCTGCTGATTCGCTTGGCCTGATCCGGCAGTTGTCCCAGAATAATTGGCGTATTCACCATTATTCGATTTGCTGTACTTATCGGAACATACGACTTGACTCTAGACAAGCTAACTTGAACAATAGTTCCCACATTGCTCTAGACGGAGCTGCGGCAGTTACATGATCTGTGAAAATTTGGACATAAGCTGAAAGTAATAACGGTGACTTGTTTTTATGCTCCTTCTTTGCTCCACCGTAGCAGTTGATTTGTTTCGCTTCTTTGTTGGACAGTTTCTGCTGGAACTTCTAGACTAACCCTGTACTGTGTGCTCATTGTGCGAATGTATACAAAGTGCCATTCCTTCAAGGACTGAAGTGTTTTTTAGCCTTAGTGAACGATCATATCCATACACCAATGTATCCCTCACCTGATCACAATTGGAGGTCAGGTGAACGTAGAGGTCGCGGTCAGTCTAGCGTTACCATTGATGTAACACTGATTTTGGGTTTTTGTATTGTTACCTGTGTTACTGTAAGTAAATGAGAACCGGTCGACTCAGTAAGAATCGGCCGATCAAGCAAATAGCCTGAAACTGTGTGTAGGAGCTGAAGCTCTTGCGGTTTTGCGTCTGCCCCGGTATCACCTGGTTATCATCCCTTCTTTTGGCAGGCTACTAGCAACGTGTTAGTAGGCTGTTTTGAGTAAGATTTTTCAAAATTTCGGGAGGTCGCAAAGGCTACGAAACCGCAGATTCGCCGGTTTTTTGGAAATGGGACCGTCCGCTGAGCCTACCGTGTGCAACCTCACCGCTTTTTAAAATCACCGGTTCTCATGTATCACCATCAACAGTCCAGTTTCTTCGGCTGAGCGAATGTTCGATATGAAGGGCACCATTTAAGAGGGGAGAGTAACAATCTGTGCCCTTACGTTCGTCGCCAATAATGGACGAGGCTGACTTTCATAAAAATATTCCGCAATAAGCCTTACCGCTTCATGCACGCCCAAACATGGAAGTGGGCTCAACACGCTTCCGGTTGTCGCGCTGATCTCATGAGTGACCTCATTGCTCTTGTGAAAGGATAGCTTAGAGAGGTGATACTAGGTGGATTTATACTCCCAGTGAATACAGATTACAAACTAGTTTAAGGCAACTCGGTGTACTGAATGGTCAACCAATGGTGCGGAAAAAGTGGATGAACACGGCTCACTTCTGCAGGATCTCTAGATTCTTCTTCGCTTTGCTAAATAGACCCACAGGTTAGAGGTGAACGATGTATACAAACAAACAACTCGAAGAGTCACACTTTTCGAAGGCAATCTGTCATGGCGTCAGTCTTACATATGTTGTCCACTAGTAATAATGGTCCGAGCTTGTTACAACGTCCGGAAACGGGCCATCTCGGGGCTGACGGATCATCTGTGTGGGTGACCAGTCGGCCAATGCACGTCATGATGTTATTAGCTGCTAAACGTCACGAATAATGTTCTCTGGGTTAAAGAAGAGGTCAATTCATCTTGTGGCTCCTTTTGAACAACTTCTGTAAGCCGAGTTGACACGTGACTGTGTGGTTATCACACCACGTAGAATCATTAGCAAAAACTGCGGTTGGGGGTGGAAATCCCAACCCGACCAAAGGTCACAGTATCCCTCCTACACAACTATTTTAGCACTAGCTCACCCACACAGACAGACAGAAGGTTCAGACGACGTTCAAGAGGGACCATCAAATGAATCGAACCAGAAGAACTAAACCCTAGACTGGACCCAAACACATGTAGGTTTCCCCATCGACCCAACACTTGTTCACCCACCCCAACACACAAATATCCCTCGGCCGACAGATTTAGCTTGACTTAGCTGACTGGTTCTCCTTCTGCCTTAAATCTCGACCAACCTCGGAACCTAGTCACTTGTCCTGACGAAGCTTGGGTCAAAAGCGAAACGTTGCCCAGCAATAAATCTACCGATTGTCACCACACTTTCGAAAATTCTGTGAATCTTCCAGTGGCTTCTCATAGCGTGTGAGCGGTTTGATCGGTTCGGCAGAACACACGCGTCATTTCCTCGATACTCATGAAGTCCCAGGTTGCGACACGTTTTTGTATCACTCGTGTTTCATCCGGCTTGCGTAGCTACGCAAGCTCCCCTTTGGTTTTCCTGATTGAGGAGTAATCGTTTTCTGTTTATCTTTTGAACCAGCATGAGTGAAAGCTGTGGCCAAAGTCTTGTGTCAGCCTGTCAGATCTCACCAGACCAACAGTCGGAAGCAGGTCGAAAATTTTGAGTTAGTTGATCGGTTAGCGGAGGGCCTTGCTGGACCCTATGTACACTCAGTCGTCAATAAAGTTGCCTCTAGTTTAGTTACACACTCCAATTATGTTCCTTAACTCCGGTTAGTCGAATACAGTCCTGTAGAATCGCTTGTCAGTGTTACTATTTTAGGTAGTGGATCCAGGCTAGGTTCCTGGTTTATGTGAAACCTTTGCTACGCNCTGAACTCCGGAACGTTAGGTAGCAACGTACGGATCACAGTAAACCATATCGTAAAATGTTGAAATTTAGCGAGCTATCTCAGGTGGCGTTACCGTTTCATACTAAATGTACTGGGATCCTTCAATCAGATTATATTTCCCTGGTCCTGTATGAACAGACAGCACTGGAAGCTCATGTATTTGTTTCAGTGACAGTTTGCTGTTTACTGACATCAGTTGGAAAACCAATACTTGGTCGCCATAATCCGCCAAGCGATCGGATATCATTGGTACGGCCTAACAGCTTCTCCTAGCATTGTCAGGTACCTAACAGTTGGGCGCGGATGCGACGTCATTATTCGGATAGTCCGAGCTTCCACATTTCGTACGAGACCGCAAGGGTTTTTGGCCATTGTAAGCACTACTTCTAGGTTACCACTACATGTCTAAAGAAAAAATCAGTTTTCCAATTTTGCACACTCACCCCGGAACAACTGCTGTCAGAATCCTAAGGATCTATTGTGATACTGCGAATACTGTATCAGTACACAGATTCTGCTTTTGTAGCAGGATTTCACTCACGCGGCCAAAATACACATGAATCATTGTTTGACCTCATTTCTGGAGTTGCACTCAGCAATGGATGTCCTTGTTCCGAACGACAGGTAACTCGGCTAGTGCCTTCTGACCTAATGGAACCTACCCTATGCCCATAGAACCCAAGGGCAGTAAAATTAGAAAGAGAAATTAGGACGATAGTCCTATGTAATTTACACCAGGCACCGATACACACGGGCTCTAACTTCTAGCGGATCTCGTGCATGAGTTTAGAGGTGATATCAGATCAAATGTTAAGTACTCTAACTTCTAGCTAATCTCGTGCATGAGGTTAGAGGTGATATCAGATCAAATGTTAAGTTGAGTGTTAAGTCAAGTGGCAGAGCAAACAGCCATTCCGTGAGCGAAGGAGAGTGCAACAACATGACTGTTGGACCTCGCCAAACTCCCTTGTTGGGGAGACCATTCAGGGAGAGGAACCATCTGTCCTCTGTTTTTATTGGTACCATCTACCTTTCATCACACCCATTGTTGAGAATCACAAGTCCGATTGCAGTATATCTCTCAATCCAAGAAAGTAACCACGTCTGGATACCTTGAATGTCTGTAGTTGCAAAGTTTCCAGTAGATTTAGCGCCCTCTCAGAAATGATGCTACGAATTCCCCGTTTTTTTGTACTTTTTCCACCCAAAGGTGTTTCTGTCAGCGTTGCTATATCTCAGCCTTCAATTTACCTGACACAGCCTGTGAAGATGTGCTGACGTCGATTCTCTGGGAAGCCGGGAGTGATTCTTCATAGTATCTTGCACGGTTTTCCATCTGTCCAGCGGATTGGCGCCACTCGGGTCGATATGTTCTCGTTAACTTATCCTTCGTCTTCAAAAAAGGTGCATCAGACATAGTCGGAATGAAGGATCCGATGCAGGCACCGATACACAAGCATTCGGAGTTTCACCGAGTTTTGTCAGCTTGCTCTGTGTGAACAAATCTTTTTTCAACTTGTGACAAGATGGAGCGATTACTGAATATGAGGACAGTCAGCCCAACGTCATAAACGAGAGATTCAGCTGGGTTCCAGGTGAGTCTCTCGAAAGAACCAAATTAGTTTGTCCAGTAGATTTAGCGCCCTCTCAGAAATGATGCTACGAATTCCCCGTTTTTTTGTACTTTTTCCACCCAAAGGTGTTTCTGTCAGCGTTGCTATATCTCAGCCTTCAATTTACCTGACACAGCCTGTGAAGATGTGCTGACGTCGATTCTCTGGGAAGTCGGGAGTGATTCTTCATAGTATCTTGCACGGTTTTCCATCTGTCCAGCGGATTGGCGCCACTCGGGTCGATATGTTCTCGTTAACTTATCCTTCGTCTTCAAAAAAGGTGCATCAGACATAGTCGGAATGGAAGGATCCGTGCAGGCACCGATACACAAGCATTCGGAGTTTCACCGAGTTTTGTCAGCTTGCTCTGTGTGAACAAATCTTTTTTCAACTTGTGACAAGATGGAGCGATTACTGAATATGAGGACAGTCAGCCCAACATCATAAACGAGAGATTCAGCTGGGTTCCAGGTAAGTCTCTCGAAAGAACCAAATTAGTTTGCAGATGAGTGCATATTCGCTAATTTCGTGCAATTTGGTTTCAAGTAGAACATATGGTTGACGGAAACCCAGGGACTGCGCCTACCTGATGAGCCCCCAAAAGGGGCGAAACTGGTCGTAGGCTGTCGACGGCTTTTCAACAACCTTATGAGTAGTAAATTACAAAGATATCATGTATCGCGATATCTCGAATATCGTAGCGACAGAAACATGAGGCGACCTGGTGCAGCACATTCAGTTGCCTGAGAACACCGTAAACTAGAGATTCAGCTGGGTTCCAGGTGAGTCTCTCGAAAGAACCAAATTAGTTTGCAGATGAGTGTATATTCGCTAAACAGCAGTTCCGCACAAAATTGCAACTAGCAGGATGACTTGAATGAACGACGGGGAACAAATATGGCCCGTCGTACAGCATACACATACGCACTGTAGACATGTGACCGCAACACAACTTCTACCCGGTTGCTTACCCTGACGTTGTTTCATGAGTAAAGGAACAGAGAAAAGCGGCACCAATGCCACTGAAATTTCACCAAAGTGATAAAGATAACCTGAGATAGGGTCTATGATATCTGAATGACATAGAATAGGCGTTTGTCTAGTTACGTGGGATTTTCAAACCCACGTGTATTTCACCTCACAGCTGTGATTCCGATCAATCACTGATCAAAATAAGAGGGACAAACAACCTTTGATTAGCTGGATATGCGTTACACAACGGCCATTGAGCCATCAAGAAATCGCATCATGACCGGTATGTGTGTGTATGACTGCGTACTGTAAGATACCAGCATTTTGGGCATGACCTGATCAGTGAACATCGTTCATTTGTGGTTATTCCATGGGCAACTTATTCCTTTTGTTTATCGGAACCTGTCTCGGGTTGGTCCAGTAATGCACAGACCCTTGTCATAGGCATCTAGTTGCAATGGAACCTTTTTGATGCCGTTGGTGCATCGGACGATATAGCACACAGTGGACAGGTCCATATCAAAGTGATTTCCATCGAAGTTTCCGGGCACTTGCATCTTGTTACTCTGGCACCAAGATCCGATTTCATTGGGACTGGTTTAGAAATCTGGACAGTACGTTTTACCTCAGTGTAATCTCTCTGGACGAACTCCTTAACATCACTAAGCGGCATCATTGGTTATGTGATAAGATACCTAAAACTCGCATGTTTGCTGATGAAGGTGGACTGAGCGGTGCTCATCAGTCCTACAGGTGACGATTATGTTCATTTAGTTCTTCAATCATTTTTCCGTGCCCTCTCTTTTTTGGTGATTTGTTATGACGCCATTGCCAGTCCTTTGTATTCTCTTCGACCCAACCCAACGATCAGTCACCCTAAACTCACGCACTGATCCCCACCAGTAAGACTCATACTTTAGTAAGCAATTGCTTTAGTGCTGTTCGTCTACTGCTCGAAGTGTGCATATATTGACCCCAGTTCCAAGCCGACAACGCAGCGGGCAATAAATATAACGACTGTCATTATAAGGTAGACGTTTCCAGTGGATGAATGTCAGTCAAACTATCCACAACCCACGGTCCAAGAATTTTACCTATAACACTGGCTTCTGAGATTATTATCTTGATAGCTCCAGCTGTACTTGTACTGTGGTGAGGTGTGAGGCCAGATAGTGTATGCAGTATTTGCGAATGGCACTCACGTGCAGATTGAATTGCTATGGTCAGCGGATTCAAGTGGACCTACCTAGTACGTGAGTGTACTTTGTCAGTGCGTATGTACTTAATCAGTGACAAATGATTACGGGATATGTCATAACGTCCGCCATTTCGTAATACTCCCGGTCATGATTAGCGCTCCAAATGAACGCTGTGCGTTATTTATTCGGCTTGAGGTTATCGCAAACGAGTGAATCGTTTCGGTATTTTATTTTGAGAATGATTGGTTAATTTTATGCGTGTCGTCATGCTCTTTTTAGAACAAACGATTTGCGGTCTGAATAACTAGCTCGGAATCATCGTCTCTTCCACGATCCCCCGTGGACGGAACATGCAATAAACATTCAGGATATCGTGAGGAGAACGCTCGGATAACGACATATGGAGTTGTGCATTCTATTCTTTTGATCGAGCTTCACGATGAGCTTAAAGAAGCACTGATGGGAACACTGAGCAGTACAAACGTACGTGCCATCGCGGCAGGATGAGTAGCAGTGGGTCGTTCAACATACCGTGTGTCAGGCGGTGCAGTAAATGGGGGGAGAAATACACACAGGCTTAAGCGTGTATTCACGATTGGGCCAAACATCGTAGACACCTTCGTGGTATTCATGAATCGTTCCTAACATTGCTATATCCGCTGATTCGCCAATCTGTGGTATCTGCTGTTGACTCGCTCCAGTGCCCAATGCCGAAAAAAAGACTCACAGGAGGGAACACAACAGAGCGGGAGTGTGTGCGGGTGCGAAAGTACAGCGGTCTCAAACTATTTATTGGAGGGACACCGTCTGAACTTGGTCCAATGCTGGCGCAAAGAGTTTGGTCTTTGTACGAGGCTGCGACGTGCTGCATACTGCGGGGGCGTTGTTTGACCTTGCTCAACGCTGACTCGCTCTGTCTGGGTTTGATGCAAGTCTGTGAAGTGGTGCATATTGACGAGGCGTTGTCTGTCTGGTTAACATCTAGCGGAGCTGAGAGTCTCAGTGGATTTCGGGCATTCAGTGATTGCTTTCAGGAATCTGACCTTCCTGATAAACATACAGCATGAAAATGGTTTGTCGGACATAATGGAGACCGAGGAAACGGACAGACACAGACCTTCAAATTCCCACCTTGTGATATATATCGTAGATTTAAGATATCCCAACTTTGCTTCACATCACCAAGCGCTGCAACCTCCTTCAGAAGTCAGGTATGCACGAGCAATTACGCGGTGCCGAATGTCATACGGAAGAAACTCGAATGGCAGAGGATTGAAGCGAAAGAGTGCTTCAGATGCATTGGAATGAGAACCTTTTGAACCCAAATCACAACACGCACAGCTAATTTGTTGACACCATCTGGTCGATGCAAAAGGGATACTAGTTGACAAAATATTGAAGAATGAAGCTCTAACTAGCCAAATCCTTTCCCAAGAAGTCTTCATGTTAAGGAGGAACAGTAGATTTCAGTGATGCCACGTAAGTAGTTGAAATAACAGACGTAGGATTTTCCAACCAGAGTTTACTGATTTCTTTCTCCCCCAATCTGTATCAATTGAAGTCACATACAGACGAAAGTCAGTAGGAATACACAATAATTCGTTTTGTTTTCCTCGTGAATATGTTCCCAGACTCTGAAATAATGTTATACAGTGAGATAATAACCAATGGTGTAGCTTTCACATTATCCGTATACGTGTAGTGTCTGCATTCCGTTGTCACATTCACCATTCTTCCTGAACTTAAACCATACTTTGTAACTATCGTTCACATTGTATCATGACGTTTGCTTTAATGTTACGAATACACAATTTTCCGGCGCGACCTGCTGACTTCTTGCTGAACGAGCGTATTTACGCTCCGTTGAACTGTTTGTTGACTGCTGAACCAGTGGGACTAAATCTCTGTGTTTGTGTCAACTGTTGAACGTCACAATAAATCCCTGTGACATTTTTTAGCCGTGAATAATTTTCCTACTGTGGAATATATCACGCACGCGGAACCATCTTTGGGAAATCCCGACAAGTGAATATTTCCTTTCACAGCCAGTTACTGCATTTGGATCGGTGTAGTGGACTATTGGATCTACACATTCGTGAGTCCCCATTTGACTACTCATTCCTTTCCTATTGTGATTTTGTGAATTTGTATTGGTTATTTTGATTGTTAATTTATCCGAACACGCTGATAAGGTCCTAGTCCGCTACATACTTATCCGATAGGCCTAAGCTCCTGGAAGGAATAGGTTCAGTGTAGTTACACTGGCGCCTCTGGATTTACCCAAGATAGGGTCCATAAACACTGGAAAGTCAAGTCTTTCGTCCTCCAATTCATGAGGCTTATTGTACCCGAAAATGTGTCTTGCTGAAATGACGGATGTGAATCTCACACTAGGGTATAACTGGGTTTTAGAATTATGGTCGGATCCAAGAATGGGAAGCGAACTGTATGGTCTTTCTTGTGGTGGACATGGGAACTATCGAATCAGAACGAATCTGTTTGAGACTTGAGCTAGTTTAGAGAAGAAAATTGTCGTGAATATTCACAGAAGATGTGATAATTATCAGATTCGGGTACGATCAACGGTTATACGCGACCTGAGAACGAGCGCACGAATCCCCAGCTATGACGCGAGCCCAACCACTCCTAGCGCGGAGGGAGAAGACCAGAATGAGGAGCAACATGGCGGAGAAGGCGCGAAATTTAAAAATCCAAAATTTTTGAAAAATAATTCGACAATAATTCGAGAAATAAGCCGTTTTTGGGGATACTGACCCCCAAAAAGAGGACTGCAATTTACATCCTGGATCAAAATTAGCGGCTAGATGAGCTGCAACTTCAGTTGCCTGCACAGGAAAAACTTCGCTGGTTTCATTTCTGTCATGCCAATGGCAAGTGATTCACACTACACACACACACGTAACGTCTGCTTTGATAGAATTCAAATTGGACACCAACACTGAGACAGAATACAACCTCAGAATATCTCAGAATTTTGCATTTCGGGTCATCTATCATTTTACTAAGTCATCCTGCACCTCGAGAAAATACTGAAAATTTAGGCTTACAAAATTACCAAATTCAAGTCAGATACTTGTACCTCACTTACTGACTAAACGTGAAAAAAAGCGCTGCTGATGATGACATCAACAGGGACTGTCTGATAAAAACAGTATAATAATCGAGTCCTGAACGAGCTCATTTATTTCGCGATCCGATACTTTCTACAAACAAGACTACGAGGATAACACCCGAGAAGAACAAAGAATCTAGTGAAGCGATTCTGTGAATCCCTTATAGGTCGAACTTTGGGGTCTATCCTTTAGGTATTCTCCTTTTTTATGCTTCTGGAATAGTATATTCCGTCCAAAACCTGAAGAGAAGCATTTTCACAAAAGAGATAGAGAAAACATTGTTGATAACCCTGTTCATTGTTTAATAAGTGAACTATGTCCAATGTGAAGAAGTGTATCGTAGTACCGTGTACGAAGTTGACCCTTGTGACCTTGAGGAAGGAATATTTAATACGCATATCAAACAGGTCACTGGTGGTTTTTATGGTTTCAAAAAAGTGCATGTTGGTAGAGGAAGACTCGGACGTATTGGCATATGAGCGAACACAAATCAAGAAGACACTACTCTTACGTAGATCAGCCGTCTGTAAGCATGCCGACAGTCCTTCATGTGTTATCAAACTGGTGGCACTAGTCAGTCTGGAGGGAGATAGGACGACCCAAAAGGGGACGGCCCAATTCATTATCATCACCGACAGCATGACATCAGTGTTCAACACCGATGCTTCACTGCCGTACAACCATGATTTATTTGAGTCATATTGTAAAGAAAAGAGTAAAGGTGAACAGTGCTAGCTTAACACAATCATTCCGAGGTGCCTGCACCTCCAGACATTCACTCAAGCAATCTGGATAGAAACTGACAACACTGACATCGGTTGGCAGCCATATCTTGTAGTGTCTCCAACCAGGCACAGTGAGGATCACGCGGTCCCCATTCTGGAAGGCGAGTAGCACCGACAGCACCCAAGCGTTTCGTGGTCTCNCCCACGCGAGCTATGGTTCTGAGACAACGATTGTCGAACACCTGGAGACGTCTCAGTTCAAACAGGCCAAGTCTCACAGCCGTACAACAAGACGGACCACACTGTAGCTTGATACGTCCCTTGAGATGCATGGATACACTTCTCTGACGCCATAGGTGTCTCGAGTTAGCAAACGCGGCCCGAGCCTTGCAGATTTGTGCATTCACCTCATCTGTCACACTACAATCACAACTAATACAACTTCCAAGATACGTAAAACGCTCCACAAATTCCAGTGTCTCTCCCTGGATTGTAAGTGGCGTGTTCAGTGACTGCACGTCCACGAGCATGACCTTACACTTTGTGGGTGCAAAGTGCATACCAAAGGACGGGATGACTTTGGTCAGTTCATCCAAGAATACTTGCGCCTTCTCCTCCTCTTCGAACATGAGAACGATGTCGTCTGCATATTCCAGATCGACAAGATTTTCTTCACAGGCTATTCGAACACCAGGGTTTTGGAGACCCTCCAGCGTTCGTCTCATTATTTTATCGACCACGAAGTTATAACCTATATGGAGATCAGAAGTGGAACTGGAAAGCCATCCATTCAAACTGTAGCCTGTGTTAGTCTGAGAAGAAAATATCAGGGGATCTTTGGAAACCTCTTGAGATCACGGATGAGCTTCTGTTATTTCAGTTTGCCATAAACTACATCGTGAGATTTGTAGCATCGCCGTCAAAAGTACACCGGGCGCTAAGCACTATGAAATGCTGAAGCGAAATATGCCGGCTTTAGAAAACATGAAAATGCTGCCGGATTACCGCTGACAAGACCTCCAGAATTTCTGTTTTGACTGTGAGTTTCGCGGCTCTCTCAAAACCCTTCAATGTGGGGACTGCAAACTCATCCAAATGATATGTACTCGAAAGAAATGGCTTAAATTGACGAAGCTCAACCTTTACCCCTAGGGATAACAAGAAATTGTTTGTTCTCGTTAACTCTTCCATTGAGTGATATGTAGCTTCCCCGTTCGCTAACACAGATGCACATATGGTCCCAAACGCAGTGGTAGAACACTAGGTTTGTCCCTGCGGTGCACCCTGCCAACGACATTAAGACAGGAAGTCGAAATTCAAAGTTCACCGGTTCTGGAGCTGTAAGGAACACACAAAATTGATAAAACCCGTGCCACATCCGGAGGGCAGCGGACAAAATGAACTTTAATGGACCTGAAAGCGTTCATGGAGAGTCCTTCGATTCGGAACACGAGTTTGCGCCTTTGTCTGCTAGGGTTTGGGAGCTAAGTGCAAACTCCAACCTGTCAGATACCGAAAATTCTAAAGAATTTTGAGGAAATCTCCTGCTGCATACGGTAAAATTTCACGACCAAATCGTATACCAATTGCCAAATGGCCACTAGAATGTTCACTATGATGAGAACTATCATCCTTGAGAAAGGGTGCATTAATCAGCCATGCAAAGATGAAGTGAGCTCCAAATTGTTGTTGGTTCTGCTTAAAATGCTGACAATTTCAGCACCACCAGGTACGAGGGTGGTTCCGCCACGCATTCCAGGTGAGTTTTTACTGGTGTTTAATAGATTACCGGTTTGCATGCAGGTGACTACCGGTACCCACCATCAAACCCCGTGTGAGGACGCAGTTTAGGCTCTATCACCAGTTTGTGTCTACTCTTGACGAATAACGCACGCAACATACGGATAGTTGGAACCATGTGTTCATGACACAGGTTGTGCGAAAAACGGTTCATGGTTGACAGTGACTAATTACCGTGTGTCTGGGCTGTACTTCTCGTCGGGTTTACGTTGTAAACCAACCATTTAGAGTTTCTAAGTTTTGTTAAATAAAGTCACAAGATACCTCTATATTCAAAATTGCTGACTAATTACAATATCTGAAGTGCATGGAACGTTCTAGTATAAACGAAGGTGGCCTTGAATAAATAGCTTGAAACTGTCGTTTTTCAGGAAGCAACGTAACTAAACTCATCCCAGTCGGGAGTGTTCTGGCTAGGTTCACTGTAATTTTCTAACCAAACTCTCTGAACTGCATTTGCTAGTGTTTATGTCGTTTTTTTGTACACGCGCCAAATCACCTAGAGCGGTAGTGGATTTCATGCTTAGCTTGTTTACGATGAAAAATTCTTCATCTGAATTATGATTTTTTTCATGGATCAGCTGAAACAGTTCTTTGGGGAGCAACTAAATGGCATGATTGTCTGCAAGAGCATTTCTGAATGCGAATATGTGAAAGTTGACAACCCATCAGGAACGTCAGATTCTTGAAAGTCACCCCAGAACGCCCGGAACCTACTGCTCCACCTAAAATCTCAACAGGAAAGCCGACAAGCATCCAGGCCAGTCAATCATTCAATCAGTTCGGCGAAAGCCGATGAGTGTTCAGGCACGTCACAGAAGCACGACCGAATGTGATCAACGTTCAGGCATTTCATGGAAGCACGATCGATGTTGATGGGTGTTCACTAAACGCCTATCAGACAGCCTGGATCAGTGTCAGAAAGTGCCCATTGAACAGCGTGGGAACGTTGTAACTTTTGCGCTCGCACGAACTCGCTTGTTGCATAAAGTTGTTACGTTCCTTGTCGGTGAGTTCTCCTGGCACCAGGAACTGAAGTCAGCAGTCTGAACAGCAGAACTGAACAGCAGTCAGACATAACACAACCATATTCAGATATATGCTTGACGTAACACACTACTCATTAGAATATAGTAAGACAGATTCTTTTAAGTTTTCCCATTTACGTCAAATCAGTCGGTTTTTCAATTGCGGTCAACTGCGAGATATTGCCTTCCATGAGAGAAGTCTGAAATCCCAAATGAAAATGCCACTTGTCAAAAGTGTTTTTTGAGCTAGTAGTAAATTCAGACTCACTTGTTGCACACTTTTCTACGCATGAATACCGATATCTGTTGTACATTTTGATGGTCATCTTTCTCCCTCACTGTGTTTTTATATCTGACTGATAATTCTACGGAGTTCAAGTGTTGCTGTAGTGACGAATGTTGAATTCGGTCAGACACCTGTTTTTATCTAATTCTGGTTGCTCGTTGACTGCGTGATTACATTGTTTGCCAGTTGGTAACTTATTCTTTTCCCGAATGCTCTGAGTTTTGTTTTCTTCTAACTTGACAACATGAGGCGCCCATAAGTGCATGTGGGGATGTCGCAAGAAACCACAAGACCGAAATCATAGGTCATCGTGTCATTTGTTCCCTCTATAACTCATTTGTGTTTGTTGTGCTCCTGCAATAACCGTCTTTTCTAAGGCATTACTATCAGTCATCATCCCAACAGATTTATGAAAACACACCGTTCTTCTTCTGACTGTGACTGATACCTGTTAAAAATTAAATTGTCCACATTATCTCCGGCAGTCTCAAGGTCGAATCGCGGTTGTTGAACGCTGTAACCGAAGTTTTAAGTACTTTGGTCGGGCAAATAAAACGTATTCCGGTTCATGGCTGTGTCGTACCGTTCGGCAGATTGCTAACAGCCAATTTATCTCCAATATATTTATTCCGCCTCAAACGATTGAATCGGGACAACCGATACAAAATGATATCAGGCAGGATGATTTCAGCTAAATGATACATAAGATCTAACCCAGATCTACAACTTTTGATGATCGCCATTTGGCAAACAGATGTGTATCACAGAATCTCTTAGTGATAGGAAATACAGTACAATTGCGATAAGACTTCAAAGAGTGATTACATGTTATGTGTAATGGTTGAAAGTTGTTAGTGATATTTGTTTGGCAATGTGGGTGTACAACACTTAGTGAGTACATAAACTCAGGTCTCCTATATCTGATAATCCCGCGTTCTATCCTAAAGACCACCAAACGATCATCATCTTATGTTGTACTGACAGAAGAGCATACGGTATGGTGTGCTACAATTTGCTCCGCGTAGACCATTTACGATGTCACTTTCACTCAAATGCGAATTTCAAATCTTGGATGTCAATGTATAACGAAAGAACTGGCGATCACGTTAATACCAGTGAAAGGAAGAAGGCCTTCGCTGCGGCGTTATTTATTAGAAAACTCCAACTGAACAGTTACAGACTATTGGACAGGGAAGTAAAACTCTCATTTGCATCTTATTTACAAAAATTGAACATCCATCTTTTCCTAAATGCGTCTTCTTGAACTTTCCTGAATATTCATTGACTGTTACTCAAATGCAAGCAAATGCAACTCCACTAATTCCACAATAATTCTCACTTTTCAAGAGATGCAAAAAGGATTTGCGAGAAAACATGCTACTCGCATTCCTCCATCAGTAGTATCCACCGTTACACCAGCAGTTGAATAGATTCGGAATGGCGCAAACCTTGTGGCAAGTCTGTTGACTCAGTGTGAACACTTAGTCACAATCAACACAGTTATCAACAACTAGGTTATCGAGTTTTCACCATTCACTCACCCGCGCATCCCCCACAAAGCATGGACGAATCCTGAAAGACAAAAAGAACTGTATCCTGGTGAAATCACTTTTGGACGTAAAAAAACCGACTGACAGCTGACAGACGCTGAAACAAACAGACCAGTCTGACAAACTTAATTGCTGCCCCTGATTTGCGCCTTCGAAAATTTGTCCAGTTTGTATTCCTTAGTTTTTGGAGCACTTGGTTTCTAACATTACTATCTATTGATTGATTATCTATCATTGATCGAGCGTGTTCCTTATCGATGCACAGTGTGGATTCCACGCCGAATCCAAAACAAAATACGATGACGAGCCGGTTGATGCCGCACGCACAGCGCCATCCAACGTTCCATTTTTTCGCGAGTGATCTGAATTTTGACTGATTGGCCTCTTTGGTATTTTTAATCAAGTTGATTGCCACTGATTACAATTCTGCTGTCTTCGTTAGGCAACACGGAATGGTGTGGAGTGAATGTTCCAGGAAATCGTAGGAGTCAGGGAACAAACAAACAAACAAAACAAACAAACAATAAAACTCAGTACTCAAAAACCGAAGCTAAATGATCTACCAAAGATATAATGAAGCTGGTCTCTTAGATTTCCTTTCAGAACAGTGCGTGTTTTCGGGAGATAAACTGCCCAATTCTGCTTTCAGCCACCTTTTGCGGATGTGAAAGTTTCCTTTTCAGCATTCCCCCCCAGGTCGGGTTGCGTGACAGCTGTGTTTGATGGCCCATTGTAAACGTTCAGTGATATCATATCTATAGGAGATGTCATACGGACAACCAGAAGTGGCTTACTGCGTGGCTACATAGCTACATAGCATGGGAATAAACCGAAGACTGACAGGCACGCCGGTATGTACACTAGGAATTCGGAAGCAAGAATATCAATTTCAAGAGTGATAGAAGCGATCACGCTGCTGGCACGCACTATCATATGTTGGTGCTCCCCGTGAAGAGAAACACCGTGATGAGACTGCGGTGTCCGTAGTACGCACAAGATACCTTTATGAGAGTAAGAATATCTGTGCGACCGAAAACAACGATAAGACAAAACAATAGCAGTGATCAATCTGCATTTTTTCGTTTGAGTTGAATATTTTTCAAGCACCAGTCACGGATGACACCTGTTTACCAGGTGGGTATCCTAGG